ATGCTGTCTTCATAGGATTCCGCGCACCAACAAGTATGAAAGCTGCTCCTCCCAGGCAATCTCTACAGGCCCTAGAGCTCTTCCGCTCCTCTCAGAGCCGAAGGCGCAGCGGAACATTCCAAATGATGGAAAGCTTCGGCAGCGTGATGCAAATGCAACTTGCCAAGTTGCGAGAGGCTCCAAACCTTGGTTCGTGACAACAAGAAAGCTTTCTAGATGTTTGGCCAGGTTCTTTTCTGCACGTGCTCAGCAGGAGCCACTCCCTGAGGCACCCATGCTGGTACTCACAAGTAACTGCAACACTCCAATCTTGGTACAACATGACCGGACGTTCTAGCACGATCTCATTTCCCTGGGCCCAAATGACCTGCACGGACGGGGTTAGAATTCAGAACATCATTGGCTGCAGACGTTTTTAGGTCTAGATGCGGCTGGGCGCTCCTCAGCATGCGCTGGTTTGCTGGTTGCAACTGCACAAGCTCCATCAAGTTCCCATGCACGATTTCCTTCATCGCAACAGACCAACCTGAAGTCAAGCTGCGGCATATCTTAGCATGCCTCTTAATGTTGCATGTAAGAGCAAACCGCCAATGCATGCTGGCAAAGAATGGCAAAGAGAAGTGCTGAGCAGCTTGAAGTGTTCATATTGTTCGTACTTGCAGGAGAACTTGGATCCGTTTTCGTGTGGACCTCAAGCTGGGAGTTCTGCTGGGTGATCTGAGCTTTCTGCGAGCCATGCGAGCATTTTGACTTAAAGCGAGGCCAAGTGCCCCTGCTCCGCCGGCCCCGCCGGCTCCTTCACCGGTTCCGGGTGATCAGCCTTCCCGGTCGAGCACCGCGTCCCCACAGCACTTGCAGCTTACCATTTCCGAGGCTCTGCTGTATTAAATCCGAGGCCCAGTTCGGATTCGAAAAGCAGGAGCTTCTGGCAGAGGCTGAAAGTGCGTGCACTCGTTGTGAGTGAAGGAGTTGCCAGATACTCCAGCATAGCTCTGCGAGGATAGCTGAATCGTTCTAGCATTCTATCTCATACTAGTTCTGCAGTTATCTTGCCAATTCGTGGAATCGACCGTGTTTTCATGACGGGCCGTGATCAACAGCTGAGTTGGTGTCAGGCAGCTGCTATGGGTCTTGACATTCCTGTTCGCAGCTTCGATGACACTGATGCTTTGGACAGCGTGGGTCTCAGTTGGAAGTGACCGCCGGAAGTGGCAAAGAATCCTAGCGGATGCACTGCAAATTAGACTTCCAACCGTGGCGCCCAAGTCAGCATGGAATGGTAAACAACAGGAACCCCAGGGACTTAGAAGGTGAACAGCCAGAATTCTGGAGGCGGGACCGAAATACACGTACTGGGCTGTCACTCTGCTGTCGGCTAAGTAAGTTTCAGCCTCACCTTCTTTGCTTGCATGACGTACTCTGGGAATCTGCTTCGTACTCTTCTACGTGCGCTTACACTGGACACTTCACAAAGATTCCATCTCCAGTGGTGCCAGCTTCGCATAGTTGATTGCAAGCTTTTCGTTTGTCAGGGCTCTAAGCATTCGCATCCTTGCATAGGGTGGGGTCATCTTGCAAGGTCTCGTCTCGGCCGAACCCCGCGTGACATTGGGTCCCGAGCTTCAACATGGCATACAATTGTATCTTCGCACGTGTTGGTGGTCTGCTTTCAAGACATGTGTGAGGTGTGCCAAGAGATCCTGTCCCTGAATACTACAATAACATATTATCCATCACAATGATGTATCATTTGAGCCGCATGACATTCCGCGCTACTTTGAGCAAAGATGAGCAAAGTAGATTTGATGACATCTGGTCAGTCATCTACCTGCGAAGGCTCATCCCTGATTGCGAGTCAGCTGGGGCAGAGTGCAGCGGACTTAGAATGCATTATTGTTGAACAGCACGTGCTGCTCCTGGGAAGCTGGCACACAGGTTGTAATCCCCACGTTGCCTCGAGGAAGGCAAGTGCTCTGCAGACAGAACTACGCTAGTTTGTTGATAGTTGACTCAGAAGCAGATGATCAGATGGGACAGGGTCCTTGTCTTCAATTGCGTTTCTACCTGGGGAGACAAAGATTTCGTCGGCCTGGCAGGTGTCCTTTCCCCGGTCTTTTACTAGATCCTTTTGGCTAAGCAGTCGACACCTGTGCCGGCTAAGATCGAGATTTTCGACGGACGTGGCTTTCCTGTCATCCTGAAGGATCCAAGCCAGGCTGGCCTCAGACGACCCCCCAAACACAAACATGTGTTCAACAAAGGGAGAGTAGCGCTAGATTCTGCATTGCGTTCTCCGCAAACCGTGCCTACAGCCGGGCTTGCAGCAGTGGACACCGCACAAGGTGACCGCGGACCCGCACTCCATCAACGTCTGATTCTTACTCTCTCTTGTCATTCTTCTCGATTTGAATATCCTGCGTGTCATCGGGAAGCCTGCTGGCACGCCTTGCAGATTCAGCAATGGGCAGGGGCCAATGCCGTAAGCACGAGCATTTGCAGCATGGGCACACAGCAGCAGCCAACAGAGTGTTGGGAATCAGCGAATAAGCCCATGCAAGCCCAAAACGTCGAAACCAGGCGATGAGAACACGCACAGGCACAGCAGACATGGGCAAGCTGCAAGACAAGCAGCTCACAGCATCTGCCAACCCTGAAGCCAAAAGAAGCACAAGGCAGCGCAAGTGGACTGCTTCGGTCCCTGGCCCGCCACGGCCCGCAAGGTCCGAAATAGAAGTGAGTACGAGGTTGTGAAAGGTGGCAGCTGCAAACACGCTTCAGCCCTGAGCTGGGCAAGACACTACGAATACACTTCGGACGAGCCCCACCTTCGGCTACAAGGGAGCTGCAAGGTCGCCCAGCACATTGAGCACGGACCAGATCCACATGCCGATACTTAGCAGAGTCAATGTTCTAGGCACTCTCTTGCAGAAGGAGCTGTGCCAAGGGTTCAGTGAGAATAGAGAACGAAGCCACCTCGCGGGAGGTCCGTCTCAATCCACAACGGGGCAAGTACAAGTAAGCCACAGGACTGAAAACGCTGGCAACCTACCTAAAAACTACGAACATGGTCCGAAACCTTTTGTTTTGAACCAAAGCCCAGCAGCAAGTGAGTGCCACCATGGGCAGGCATGCCTTTACCTGGAGGTACTCGACGAATATGACCATGATCCTCGCACTCCAGATAAGCTTTTTGACCAGGCCAGTTTCTGAACAGGATTCTGCATAGCCTGTGGAAGTACATCCTCTATGGAGACTGTCAGGTCAACTTGACTCGGGACGATCTCCATGTGTGGCTGCTTGTCTGATGCCCATGGTTGACATAGAAAAATCATGCCAGTGCCACGAAGGCTTGCACCCTTTTTCAATGGTCGCGCCCACACGGCACCAAACTCAGTGGCTGGCAATCTGGCAATGCTCAAGAACAGTGCTGCGCTTCTATCTCGCAGGTGACCGTGGACTTGGAATGCCAGACCGCGATCAGCATGATCAGGGCTTCTCAGCTTACACCAGTAGCTGTCGCGTTTGTCGCTGGCAGTGCCGCTTTTTTCCTTCACGGACGAGGTCTGGAACTACAACAAGTCTCGTCTTCATTCAAGCAGGGGCGTAAGGTCCGGTCACCGTTCTATGGCGTCTGCAAGACAGGTCGTGAATGTATCCGTCATGCAAGGGATCTGGAGATCTTGCTGGATGGTCAAGCAATCTTCATCGGAGAGGTCGCCTCGTACCATTTCATCAGCTGCAGAGCTGCGCAGACTGCGCAGATGATGCAGATGGTAGTGCAGGTCAGAAGGGCTCCTGGTGTCCTCACCGAGCCGGAGGAGGCATCTGACTGCGAGCCATACGTGTGTGGAAGACTTTGGGCTCCATGGGCACCAGGCATGTGAACTCATCTTGTTCACGCAAGATGAGGCTGTTCTCGAGGTGTGCCCCTTTCCAAGCGAAATCAAGTGCTTGCTCGGGGAGCCATGCTTAGCCGAGGCAGTGGCTGAGCATGATTGGTTGCCTGCGCATTTGCCGGTCGATTCTGACGAGGAGCCAATACGGTTTACGTGGAGTGATCTTGAGAGGTTGTATTGCCATGCATGTCTCTCACTTTCAGGTACTTGTGCTCCAAATTCTGCTAGCTTGTATTTTAGCATAGGCCGAGAGAGAGAGGAGAGAGAGAGAGAGAGGAGCCCCATTAGTAGCCATTTTGGCTCAAGCCACTACCACATCAAGCCCCTTGAGTGTACTCCGTGCCCAAAGTAGCCTCTCCTTCCCTTCTGGCAACACCAAGCGGGCTGTAGAGAGCAACCTGTCCTGACCGGTGCGCTCCTTCTCCTTTCAGGGTAGCCATCAAGAATGCGGGCAAGTTTGAATACTACTGCACCGCTCCCTGAACATCTTCACCTACAAGTCCGGACCACGAGGTGATCAGGCGCTGCACTACCGGCCTATAACCCAGTTGCTCACGTCCCCTACGGCCACTTCCACCGTACCATCCACGCTGGGAGACGTCGGACAACCTCTACCAGATCGTGACTCTGGCAAGAACACCAACGAGGCAATCTACCCGCCGGACGGAGGGTCTGCACAATGGCAGGCAAGACAGGGCCACCCAACGCCCCCAGCAAAGCAATCGATGTAGAGGTGGAGAGCCCGGCCAACAAGAGACCGTGCCCCTCACACTCTAGCAGTGAAGGCACCCCGCTCACGCTTGAGCTTTTCCAGTCAACAATCCCGCCATTAATTGCCAAAATCGGGAGCATGGATACCAGGGTCAGCCAGGTTGAAACACAACTCACGGAGCGCATGCAAGAACAGGTCAGCCTTCTTACGGCCATCACGAACACACAGAGCCAACACACCAATGACCTGATAGCACTGCAGCAGCAAGACAAGCAAACTCAAGAGAACATCACATCGCTGCAGCAACGCCTGGCAAAGCTGGAATCCAACCCCCAAGGCAACCGCAGACAAGCTCCACCACCACAGTGGAAGACAGGCAACCTGCTCTCATCATGGGAGGCTGGGCAGACGACCAGGAAGCCAACACGACACTTCAGCTCGCCAAGGACGCGGTCAAGAACCTACAACTTGACATGGACATGGACGAAGCCTTTGTGCCGGGCATACGCAGAGGGTATCTGGTGGTGCCCTATGGACCCAGGAATCGGGAATCGGATGGCAACATGCATGGACGCCTCACCTCGGCAATCCAGAAAGTAAGGAAAGCCCACCAAGCCACAGGAGCGCTGAACCCAGACGGCCAACCAAAACACTTATGGTTGGCCTACTCCCAGACCCCGGAGCGGAGAAAGAGAGCACGCTACGCGGGCAAGGTGAAGCGACTGCTACTCGAACAAGGGGCCGAGAAGGAGGACCTGCAGGTCGAGTTCGCAACCGGCACGTTGTGGTACAAAGGACGGCGCATTGCCAGTGCAACCGCGCCGGCACCACAGGGGCAAGCAACGACAAAATCAGCGCTAGGCTGGCTCGACTCGGAAGCGGTGGCAAACTATACGAACAAGAGTAAGGACGCAATCGTTGCGGCGTGGCATGTCCTATTCGACCCCCTCATGCAGCAGTGACACAAGAAAGCCACCACAACACCGAGGCAACAGTTTCACGCAAAGATTGCGACGTGGAATCTGGGAGGGATCTCCCTGAGGGATGTTCCTCACACATTTCACCACTTGGCAAATCACCCTCAACTGGGCAAGATTTCACTGTATATGATTCAGGAGGTTATCCTCGAAGAGGCAGGCCTTCATTGTTGCAGCGAGCATAACTGGACGGTCCTAGCACACAGGAAAGAATCGGAGTGGAGAGGCACGGGAATAGCTTTCAGAGCGCCAGATTTCACACACATAGACACACCCACCACAGCCACAGCAAGCATAGCCACAACCCTACACACAAGTGCTGGCACCCAAATACACGCCCTCTCAATACACCTGCCGCAACACGCAACCCTGGAGCAGACACCCCAACTGATTCACACATGGCAAGAAACCCACCCACAGCTGCAGCGCCACCCGTGCATCATAGGAGCAGATTGGAATGAAACATTCAATACACAAAGCCAGGCAGCCACCACAGCAAGAGGAGAGACCATCTTAGACTGGCTCTCACAACACAAACAACACATGCCACCGCAACGGGACGACGTGCCGTCCTACCACCCCTACAATACAACCATGCGCAGCCGACGGCCTGGACTACATTAGTAGCTCAAGGAAGGTCCTGGCCCAAATTCAGCCCATCCCCGGGTCCAAGGACCTAGCAAGCAGCGACCACGAAGCAGTCACAGCAACACTCACCACCAAAGCCACCAGCAGCCAGCCACAGCAGAAACTCACGCACCACCCAATGAAACTCAAAGTCCTTGGAGCCAAGCTCCCAGACCCACCGCCCGCAGCCCACCCATGGGACAGCCTCACAGCACTAGCAATGCAAGTGACAGAAGCATACGCCAAGCTACGCTTCCAGGAAAGCAAACAACTCAGGCAGCACAGACACAAACTGGTCTGGGGACAAATCCCCCAGGACCAACAAAGACAACATTGGAAGTTGATACAAGCGGCCCACAAGAGGGAAAAGAATAGATGGGACCACGCACAGGCCATCAAAGCAGCAAAGGGAGACTGGCAAGCGTACAGACAAAGCAAAGAAAAACCGCAGCAGATGCAATGGGGGCACAGACTCATCCTAAGGCAGGATTGGCAACAGCAAATGGTGACACACTTTCAGAGCATCTTCAAGCAACAACCCAGCCAACAAGTCAGCACAGAAATTGGGGCCATGAGGCAACTTCTGGAGAGGCGCTGTAAGGAGACGCCCTACAAGCTGGTGCAAGAACAGGAGCTGCGAGACATACAAGCAAAATGGCACAACAAGAAAGCAACAGGACCAGACAGAGTGTCGAACGAAGCCTTGAGCTTCTTCCTGTCCCACAACAGCACCGCTTCCAAACTAATCTGGACGTTGGACGACGCGCTGTACAAAGGCACAAGCCCCACCCGCGACCTGCAAGACATCACAGTGCTGCTCCCCAAGACAGACCACCCCATGATGTGGAAAGACACCCGACCCATCACATTGAGCAACACCATTGACAGGACCATGGCACAGCTCCTCCTACACAGATGCAACCACATCCTGCAACAGCAGCCACCAACACACCAATTCGCACGGCAAGCAAGCGAGCTCCTAACCATCATCAGGAGAATGGTGAGGATGTCCAGAGACAGGGGATTCGACATACGAAAGGCCTTTGACACTATAAAACCACCACACCCACCCCTGGGAGGCGAGGGCATGGCTTAGCATCATACACGGCCAAGAGCTACACGTGATACCAGCCCCCCCAGCAAGCCAACAACCGGTCCCAATCCAGCAAACAAACGGCGTCAGGCAAGGGAGCCCCGACTCTCCCATCCTCTTCGCACTCAAAGCAGGCCAAATCCTGGGCAACACGCTGCAAGCACAGCGCAACCACCCCTCGTGCAGGGAACCCCAGGCCCACCCCATGAAGGCGGACAGTTCATGGATGACACCTATTTATGGGCAACCGACCTCCCCAGATTGCAACACATGGCAACAGACTTAGAAAACCGTTTGGAAACCCATGGCACACGCATACAACCAGACAAGACCCAGTTTGTGCAGAGCCACCACACAGACAAGCCAGCCACCCTCAAACTGGGGCAAGAAACAATCCAAGCAAAGCCCCCGCACGAGCCAATCAGCGTGTTCAACCAACCAGTCTCCTTCCAAGCCAACGATAGTCACCTTGCAGCGCACTTGTCGACCAAAGCCAGGATCGCTTTCCACAAGCAAAGCCACATTCTCACATCCGAAGCCCCGATCCTGGCAAAGCTCAAATTGATAGCAACGACGGTGACGACCTCAGCCTTGTGGGGATGCGAAAGCTGGCCAATACACCACACACTCCTCACAGCAGCAAACACAGCACAATACCGAGTGGTAGCAAGAGCCATGGGCCTCAGAAGGCGGCCTGGAGAAACCGGAACAGACCACTACCAAAGACAAATCAGACAGGCAAGGCTCGCAATATACAAAAACCATCACATACGTTGGTCAACACACATTCTCCAAGCCATATGGAAACTACACGGGCACATCGCACGCCAAGCAACGGCAGCACCGGACAACGTGGCACAAGCAACACTGCAATGGCGCAACCTCAGCTGGTGGAAAACCGAACAAACAAAGCCACGCGGCACCAGACACGCAGCACGTTACAACCCGTTCCTCGATGTGGAACGGTACATAGTCCACACGGCTGGGCTGAGGTGGCAAGAGACAGCACAACACAGACAAGAATGGGCAAGCATGCAAAACACCTTCATCCAGGCACAGGACGTGCCTTGGAGCTCAGGCAAACAACCAAGCCTGCAGAACCTACACCAAACAGGCTCCAGACCCAAGCAGCGCATGCTCCTGATACATGATGCACCACCACCACCGCGCACCACCGCAACGCAACACCGCACGCACCCCCACACTAAAAGCAGATACCGCAGAAGAAACAAAAGAAGACAGAAGCAGAAGAAAGACCGGGCGTGGCAACAACTTCTGCAGCAGTTAGAGGGCAATAGCAGTCAGTGACATGCTTGGTGCAAGCATCTCAGCGTGCAGCAGTGCATGATCAGCAAGTTCCACGGCCGGCAATGTGATACACGAATCCAGGCTGCGCAGCCCCCCTTGTAGACCTGGAAGCCATCATGGCCATCCTCCACCTGGTGACAGTGGCGCTGGCTTTTGGCACGATTACGGCTCCTACGGCAACGACCCGCGACCGGCAAGATGGGGGCGACGCCACCGAGGAAGAACGTTGGCCCAGCGAAGCAGACAACCACGACACAGTGGACAACACCTGGGGCGGCGCGTGGCAGCAAACAACCATGTGGCAAAGTTGGTGGGAAGACAGTTGGCAACCAGCCCAGCACAGCCAATCCACATGGAACTGGCACCATGGCAGCCAGCGAGACCAGCAAGACCATCCCTGGTCTAGCCAGCAACAACAACCATGGAACACATACCACCACCAGCAGGAGCATACTACGGAACAGCAGGGAGGAGAAGTGACAACGGCATACACCCAACACACGCAACAACCAGCAGCACCAGCAACCCCATACGGCTCTCACCAGTGGCAGCAACAGTAGGACACGTACCAACACCAGTCGGAGCACACCGCGGATCCACAAGGAACAGAAGCACCCCTGACACACACTCAACCAGCGCAGCAGCCGGCAGCCCAGACGACCTTACCACAGGAACATACAACACATCAGGAAGCATCAGCGTCAAGCAACCAGCCAACGTCAAGCCACTCACCAACCCACACAATGACGTGGGCTGAATGGGCGTGGTGGCGCCACCAAGAACCACCAAGCCCGCAGCATGCAGTCAGACACAGGCCTTGGCGGAGTGACCAACCAAGCACAAGAGCCCAGCCGGAGCAAGAAGCAGCAGGCGAGCCGAATAACACAGAAGAACAGCAGCAGCCAGCAGCAGCAGCAGCAGCGGCACTAGCGCAGCAACAAGCAGAACAGTTGAGGGTGCACCCCTCCAGATTGAAGGCAGCTCAACAAGCGCAAGAAGCAGCAGCCAACAAGAAGCAAGCCAAGCAGCGCCAGGAACAGGAGGCGGCCCCCAGCCATCAAGACGCTCCAGCAAGGGAGCAAGCAGCGAACACAGAAAGCGACGCACACGCAGCGCCAGCAAAGCAGGCGACAACAACGCCAGTCACAGCACCATAGAACAAACCCACAGCCAAGGCAGCACCAGCAACCACGCAAAAAGCACACACCCAGCCCACCGTCAAGGCCGCCCCCACGGCGAAACAGCCAGCCACCCAAGACGAACCCCAAGAGAGCCAAGCAGCAAGGGGAACGTCAAGCCCAGCAGACCAAGCAAGAGAGCCATCATCGCGCCAACAGCACACCACCACGGCAGCAGATAGCCACGCACCGCCTTCTGCGCAGCAACAAACACACCACCTACACAGCCACGAGTCCCTGCAGCACGCAGGCCACAACCGAGCAACCTGCCACACAACCACAGCACAGCATCCACACAACCACAAACAGACAGACCGCGCAGATGGGGCCCACAAACCCAGGAAATGCAACAGCAATACCAAGCCAGCTTCATAGCTATGTACAGACAACGACAAACTGCAGCCCAAGCTCAACAAGAACCACAGCACAGCGGGCAACCCCAGCAACCACCACCAAACACGCAGCCGCCAGCAGATGACCACCTCCAGCGCTAGCCACCATAACACAGCCCCTGACACCGCCGCAGCAACACAACAACCCCCGCAGCAGCAAGAGGCGTGGGCTGCACCGGGCGAGCCGAGAATCATTCCGGACTGGGAAAGAGCATTTGCAGCTCGACTAGAGTTCCTGCATGCCACGAGGCGACTGCACCCAGCAGGGGCCAGGTCACAGGGCACGGTGCCACAAGGCGTCCCCCACACCCCTCAGGCAAGCCTTGCACCCCCCCCAAAACCAGAACATTGCGCTAGCAGGAGATACGCTACCGCCCACCTCACAAG